AATAATAAAAACTGTTAACTTTTTATAAAAGGAGGGATCGTGTAGCTACAGGGGTTCTCCTGGTGCCCTCCAAAGAATCAGGAGCTGTTAAACAGGGGTTATTTTTGATTTACCTAATTATCTGGTCCTTTATAATAAATTAAAAGAGTAGACCCAGACAAAGCCTACAACTGAAGTGTCAATAAAATATGACCTACTAGTACTATTTCCAAGCCAAGGGGGACTTCAGGTGGGGGAAAACTGGTCTGGAAGCGCTCAAAAAACTGGGTAATAGGTGGTGGGAGAGTTCTGGGTGGGCCAAAAACAGGTGAAAATTGATATTTGAAGGTTGTTATTGCTGGTAACAACGATGAGCCGCTATGCTTGCGCACAGCATTCTGCTGTGCAAAAAATCAGGTGGTTCCCAATGGTCAAGGCCAAAAAAGTAGGGTTTTTTAGTTTTTGGCTTGGTTTGGGGGGATTAGACATCAGATTGGACCTCCAAGTGTGCATTTTGAGTGTTTAATCCCACTTTTATGGGATTTTATGCCACAATTATGGGTCAGAGCATAATACCTTCATGAAAAACAACTAAGTATTTTAGAAGAAAATGGGGGTTTAATTTTTCACATTCTTCATATTTGATACCCCTATTAATATTGTTTTCTAAATGAAGCAGGTCATTTATCTTGCCAAAATACGTAAAAAACATTTACCTTTCTTGAGCCAATGTGCATTTTCTGAAAGTCCCTTCTCTCACTTTGAGGAGCTAGCCTTCTGGATTCAGAAAATTATATTTTTCCCCAAATGATATATCAAACAACATATTCACTTTCTCTTGGTTCAAAATTCTTGATCTTTTTATACTTATGACAATCTTGGCTCCAATTTGTACATTGTTTTGCTCATATTTGTAAGTTTCAATTCTGTTTGTCTTTCTCATGGTATGAAAATTCCCTTATCTGCCTCATGAGTGGTGTACACTACAAACAATACCAGTTTTGCACCAGGAAAAAATGCCAATTTGGGTGGTGGAAAATATTCCAGTTTCCTGAGACTTTTTTTACAAAATGACTCAGGAGTAAAAATTAATCTAAAATGAGCTATTTTAGCCCAAAAATAAAAATGCCCCAAATGAGCTAAAAATTAATTTTGGAATGTTTGAGGCATTTTTATTTATGGGCTAAAATAGCTCATTTTGGCCCATTTTTTACTCCTGAGTCATTTTGTAAAAAAAAGCCTCAGGAAATTGACCTATATTGGTCCACCACTCAAATTGCCATTTTTTCCTGGAGCTAAACCAGTATTGTTTGCAGTGTAAATGAATAACCAAAATGTTAAAAAAAATAGATTTTTTCAAACCAGTCAATTAAATAATGGTGGATTTGGTTATATTCGATACCCCTTATTGCATTTTTCTTGCCCTATTTATGGCACAGATTTGATACCCTTTCAGTAAGTATGATTAATGATTTGATCAGTTTTTTCTTCATAACTGCCAAAATAATTGGCTGGGTTGAGGTTATTGCAGCTTCACTTGGATGTTCTCAAGCAAGTTAAACTTGGTTGGATTTCAACCAATGAAATATGAATCCAAAGTAGGTTATAAGTACCTTGAATTTATATTTCATTTGTTAGATTTCAACCAAGCTAACTTGGTTGAATGCATCCCAGTTTGACTGGGATACCCTCAAGCTAGCCAATGATGCAACAGTGCATCAACCAGATGAATTTCAGCTTGGGACTAACATTACATTCCTTTCCTCATTTCCATGGAAGCACCTGGCACAAATTCCTTGATTAATTATTTAATAGATTCAAGTTGAAATAGAATTTTAGTAAGACTCAACTAATAAAACTGTAGATTTATTTCATAAAAAAACATTTTTGAATAGAGACTCCCACCAGAGCCCTAGCAACTTAAATAAATATATCCGGAATTACAATGAGTGGAGCATGTCCTTACAAGAACTCCTCCCCCACCAGGAAAAAACAATAGTCACTTTTTGACAGGTGACATTGATGAACAATGTTCTCAGCTCTGTTCCAACTACAGTTGTTCTACCAGTGGACTAAAAAGGCCTCTTTGTCCTCTGTGGGGGCTTTAATCACTCCCAAGGGGGTAGATGATGGGCAGCAGGCTGAACTTAGCCTGATGTAATCTTTCATCTAGTGATCATTTATTTTTCCTGGTGCCCCCCCCCCCCTGAGAATTGATTTGGAGGCTCAAAGGTCAGGAACCACATTGACCTTCAAAAATTGAGACTTTTTGGATATAAATTGACAGGTTTGAGGACTGATTACAGAAGGTTTGATAGGAAGTCCTCAAGTGCACATCAACACCGGGCCTCTACACTAAACAGCCCACTAACATTAGTGTAGCGGCCCTCAAAACAGCATGCCAAACCTGTGGTTTTAGTGCGCTGTTAGTGGCACTGGGCTACAGTGCTTTTAGCGGCAAAACCGGCCCAAAAACGGCCAAAATGCGCTGTAGTGCAACGTTATGGGCCCCTTTTTTGCCGCCCACACGCGTAGCTTTAGCACAGATTTCTGTATCTGCGCTAACACTAAGCTACAATTGTAGCGTATTTGCACTAGACTAACGCTACCGTTAGCGTAACTGGCCCAGCATTGTCAGCACATGCATGGCCATTGGCCCATCTATCATGTTGAGTAAAAAAATGTTTTAATACTCTTCTTTCAAAAACATAATTGTAGGTGTATCAAGTATGTTAAATATGTATTTTTATGAAGGGAGATCTTCCTGTTAGCCTTGATTGATGGAATGTGAGACAGAGAAAACATCAATGTTTATGATGATTGCATCTAGATGAACAGGAAACTAGTTTCATGCGAGTGGAGGGGGTCTAGGTGACAACCCATGGTAACCCAGTGGGACTGGGGGGTCACAGCATTGATTTGTCAATTTAGCTGCTATCAAGCTAATTAACCCTAGAGCTTTTTTGCTGGTGAAATCTTGAGCCTGAGGTCCATTGGTTCTTATCCCCAAATAAACTTCTGATTCCAGACTTTGTCTATCTGAATCAGGGGTACCAAATGACGGGAAGTTCTCCATTGAGGGCAATGTCCAATTGGTACTTCTCAATATTGTGATTTTGATAAGTTTTGCTATTAAACTGTTTCAAGATGAATTGAAAACCTCCAGCTGGTCCCACCCTCAAATTACCTCATAACAAGTGTTTAAAAGGTGTGGGGCGCTCTACTTTGTACATATCGTGTTTAGATAAGGAAAATGTACTTGATTTGCGGAGGCCTGAAACCTGAATTTTTTATAAATTGGCTCACGTGAGAAAAGCTGATAAAAGGCATTGATGAACTACCAGCTCTGCAGCCAAGCCCAGCTAGAGTCGTGACGTATCAACTCCTACTGTTTTGTTGACCCAGAGATTGATGCTTCGCAATTCATACAAGTTGACCAACGGCTATGAGCAGTCTGCCACAGAGGTTGTAATGCTTAAGCTCACGGTGTTTAAATATTGCTCAACCTTTTTCGGCCGGAGCTGTTATGTGGGTTTCAAAGTAAGGAAAAGTGCATCATTCACACTTAAATTGTATGCATTACAAAGCTGTTTAGGATAAAAATAAAGCACCAATTACCCCAAGAGATTATACATATTCTGGCGCATTTGCCGCGTTTGACTGCTATCCTCTTAGTGTTTGGCGAGTATTCTACTCGAGCATCCAAGGGTCACTCCATTGGCTTCAATCGAGACCAATCGCCTCCCGGTTCCATTTGATCAAACGTTTGGTTTAATAATATGAAGGTATTATTCATCACATCGCTGCTCATGCTCGATTCAGTTACCTCGGGGATGGACTCCCCAGGTCCTGGTGGCCTGCTACCCGACTTGAACATCCCGCTGGCGGATACTAGCTTGGACCCACCGTGCTCACCGATAACAATTAATAGTATGCAACTGCCCCCATTACTAGAAACTTCCAATGCGGAAAACAACCTTGCAGAACCGCTACCAATCTCAGACTCCAGTCGAAAAGTCATTTCCACCTCTGATGCCCCATCCTCTTCCTCCAAGCGAAAATGGGAATCTAATCTTTTATCCTCGGAATTTATCACCGTCTTGGATACTTCAGCTCCTCCCACCAAGCGCAAAGAGAATCTCAATTCTTCATCCTTGAGAAAAGAGAAGATCCGATCGCTTGCCGTTATTATGGAGGAAACGAGGAACGCCTTACCTGGACCCCAACGACAGCTCAAACTTTCTGACAAGGGTTATTATAGGCCTGGATCGTTTAAGATGAGGGATCAAAATCTGACCGAAAGTCCCGGGAATACTTCCGCAATCAAACATCTTTTCGAGCCGGGAGAACTTCCAAGTGGAGTGTTGCCCGAATTTTTCAACGTTTACGATTGGCGATACGTCAGAGCATGTTCGGAAGGCGAAAAAAGTGAAGTGTCAGAAGAAGGTTCACTTGGATGGTTCCTTGAAGTCCTGAACCAATGCAAATATTCCGAAACCATGTCTCCAGATCGATTCTTCTGGATCCCGAGAGCCCAGGCTGTGTCAATTTTGAAAAGGTATCAAAAGCTAAATTTGGATTTTGGAAATCAATTCATAATATTGGATAGGGCCCAAACCCTACGTGATATTACTCTGAGAGTTTCAGATGATAAATTGGATCTTGATAAGTATCCTGTCTTAGCCAAAATCCAAAATGAATTGGAAGCCGGCCTTAAATTACAAATGCGATCAGACCCAGACGACGTGACACTCGGGAGGATTCAATCAATCATCGCGCATATCAAAAAGCTCACCAAAATTACAACCTTCTTAATGATCACTTACCTTTCGTTGTTCAAGGAACACCCTAACGATTATCTAAGCGCTGAATTGGTTAGCTCGATTCTGTCTTTCCTGAAGAAATTCTGGACGGATGCTCAAGAAGGAAAAGAATCAATCCTAAAAGAACATCCTCTGCTGACAAGAAATTTGGAGCTATTCAAAATGAATTTTTTACAGCCTGAAGACAAGCATTTCTGTGAAACCTTTTTGAAAAATGAGCATAAGAGGCTGTATCAGATGGCCTGGAATATTGTTGGGTACTGGGTCCATATAAATGGAAAGAAGATTAAACAAAGTTCAATAAACCAAAAGTACTATGACCAAAGTGTGACTGAATTGATTGGCAATATCATACTGGCTGCAAACTCATATGAAATTAGAATTAAACCAAAAAATATAGATAGTAACATGTAAATCTCCTTGTATCAACTCCACTTTCATAGAATTCAAATCGGAAGCAATAGATCTATATTGAATGTCTCAGTTTGGCTTTTACTACTAAAATTTTTTATCAAATGGGCACAGTTTTATCACAAATACAATGGTAGAATTATATCAATGGAATTTGAGGTTTATTTTATTTTGAAATGTGTTGAATCTTCTCCCTAGATTTTTCATATTCTTTTTCACTGCACACAAATATTGGCCAACTATTTAAAATTGTTTGAGTGTCTTATGTCTCCCTATTTCTCTTGATAACATGGCCCTTTCTGTTTTTCATCCTACTTTTTTATTCATTCTTGAGTACCTGTTGTTATTTTTTGCTTGATCTGGAACCTCAACCAGTTATTACTTGTGTATCAGGCTGGCAATGGGCCGGGCTCGGGCCCAAAAACCATGCCCAAACCCGCCCCGCCTGGGAATGAGGGGCGGGGCGGGTCGGGCTGCATTTTCAAAAAGTGTGACCAAACCGCCCCATCTCAGAGGTAGGTGGGCTCGGGGCAGGCTCGGGGCGGGTCTCCGGCCTCCCCCCAAAATTGGGTTGATGTGAGTCGGACCTCAACTCATTGCTTGGGGTTGTTCAAAATCCATGTATTGTTTCTCATATCATATCATTTTTGTAGGACTTTGTAGATCTAGTTGTCGTGTATTCAAGATCTAATAAATCATGTATCATGCAAATGAAAAACAGCAGTATCGGTTATGTAGTTATAGGGCGAGGATTTCTTATTAAGAAATGAAAAAAAGAAAGAGTAAAATCAATTCAAGAAGTAATGGATACTTCATCGCTAACTTCAGCATGATCAAGACCCTCTTCTTGTCAAATCCAGTCTTGACCGCAGACAAGAGCCTCTAGAGTATTGGCATGAAGAGAACTTCGGAAGTCGCTGAGGACCCGGCCACTGGTTGAAAAAGCCGACTCTGATGCGATGGATGTCATGGGTGTCATGAGGATTTGCCTGGCAAATAGAGAGAGAGTTGGAAAGCGAGAGGCATGGTGTTTCCACCAGCTGAGAAGATCAAAAGATGGGCAGTCAATCGGTATCAGTGGCTCTTGGAGATACAGATCCAACTCGGCTGTTGGTGAAGACAATGGGACTGTCTTTTTACTAGCAAGGTAGACCTTGAACTCTGCATCTTCATCTTCTTCAGCAGGAGTCTTGGTATTCTTATTATTAGATGCAGAGGTACCAGTTGTTGGTGCACCGTCAATCACAGATGCTGGGTTCTGTGTCTGAGAAATCTCCGTGAACCATTGGTAGAGGTTGGTCCTGACTTGATTGATGCTGTCAGTGATTTGTTGGGAGTCGTGATCGTCAGAAAGTAAGAACTCGATGAGCTCCAATTTGCATCGTGGGTCAAAGGTGAGATTGATTGCAGCTATATGTTTCATATCGTTCCAATACTTGTCAAAATTGGTTTTCATGGGCTCGGTGATGCGCATGATGTGTTCAGTTCCATTAGCCCGGCTATCAGTGAGTTGCTTCTCGATCTTCTTCATAAGCTTGTAGACCTTGTGTGCCGTTGGGTACCGTGTTCCTCCAAGCTTCAAGGTTGCTAAGTGTTGAGTAAATGAATGCATCATGCCTCAGCTGATGAAAATTTTATAGTACAAAGTGAAAAAACTTACCCGTATTGAAAATCAAGAGGAAGGCTCAAATTGTTTTTATTTCATCCCACTCGTCGGAGGTTGGGCAATGAGTGTAATTCGCATCGGACATTGACAGATTAAGGAATACCTCCTTGTAAGGCAAAGCAGAGTTCATCATGTGATATGTTGAGTTCCATCGAGTAGGAACATCAACTGAAGGTAGGGCTGGCAGTTTGGTGTTGGTGAGGTTGATTGCTTCCTGGAACAGTTGCTTGCGTGACGAGGTGCTTTTTGAGTATCGAACACTCTCGCGGATTTTGTTGACAGCGGAAGAAACAATCTTGAGGCCATCCTTGACGACCAAATTAATGATGTGTGCAGCACACCGGACATGGAAGTATTGGCCATTCATTTCGGGCGGTGAGGTGCTTCGTTTGTTGAGGACCATGCGGACTCGATTGATTGCAACATCATTTGATGATGCGTTGTCGACAGTGATGGCACCAACCTTGTTGAGAATCTTCCACTCAACAATTGTGTTAATGAGTTGCTCGGCGATGGCTAGACCAGTATGAGGTGCTGGGAGTTCTTTGAAGGAAATGATCCGTTTGTTCAAGGACCAGTCCGGTGAAACAAAATGGGTGGTGACCACCATGAAGGGGGATTGATTGGATGACGTCCAGAGGTCTGTAGTCAAAGCAACACGGTCGACTTCTTTGAGCTCGGTGATGAGTTTGACCTTCATAGAACTGAACATTGAAAAGATATCGGCTTTGAGTGTGTTACAGGTGTAGATTTTAAACTTCGGCTGCAAGGAGTTGATGAAAGCCTTGAAAAGAGGGTACTCGATGGAACTGAATGGCTGCTCATGAGCTATAATCATCTTGGTGAGGAGATCACGCGAGATCTGTGGGGAAAAGGTCCATGTTGATCCAGGGTCAATAGATCCAGAAGTGGCAAATCGCAAAAGGGACTGCTTATTTTTGCTCTGGTAAGACAAGCATTGGTCGATGTGCCGCCAAAGGTGATTTGTGCCGCTAGTGCTTCTTGCAGAGAGTTTGCTTAAGTAATACTTACATATTGCCTTTAGTTCCTGACCTAAAAAAACAAAGAAATTAGGGACTGATTGGGTTCAGGACTGGGTGAGTGGTTAATATAAGGGACATACCATGGCCTGCGGTATCAAAGTGTGTCCAGATGTCACTAGTGGTCTTGCGCTTCTTTGACATGTTGCTTTCCTCAGTTGGTGTGCTGGATGGTTCCTCGGGTGCACTTTTTTGTGAAGCAGTTGTGGCTGTTGGGGTTTGCGGAGCTGACTCGGATATGACTGAGATATCTTCATTGATTTCTAAGGGGGTCAAAGAGGTATCTATAGTTTGTACGGCCCGCTTTTTCGGATTTTTGGGAGGCATACTGATGTAATGTCTAACTATTAACGTCTGAATCACTGAACACTGTGGGAAGGACAGTTGACGGTGACCTTGCCCAGTAGAAATGTACCGGCTCTTAGGTTTACTCTGGTGATATCCTACCAGGCCTTTGGGCCACCCAGGTAAATGTGGGCCGGTGGGCCGGCCCATGGACAAGAATTACTGTCCAAACCCGGCCCACCAATTTGATGGGTATTCCTGGGCCGGGTCACAATTGGGAAAATTCCACTTTTTCCTGCCCAAACCCGCCCCATGACCCCTCGGGTCTTGGGGCGCCCATGGGGCGCCCGAGCCCATTGCCAGCCTGACAAGTTGTGTATAGAATTGAAAACCATGATCCCTTGACAAAATGATTAGCTGAATTCAATACTAAAATCACTTTGTAAACAGATATACAGCACAACCCTATTGATTTTTGGGACTTGTTGGAAGTGGGTAGTCTGGCAAATTGTAGAAAAGCAGGATTGATTACTAAAAGTAGAACCAGAACATGTGGAGATTTATTCTGATATAAGAAAGACAGGCTGAAGTAGAGAAGATCAAATAAGTAAAAGTAGTAGACACTGAAGTAGAGATTGTTCATCAGTACCCGCCACTAGGTACCTAGCACCGCTTGGTGGGTACTGCATGCCCCCCCCCCCACACACACACCCACCAGGCTGTGCCAGGTGCGGTGCTCCAGAAGTGTTCTGGAGTGTCAGTAATTATTAGTAGTGATTAGTATTTAGTATTTGAGTAGTTATTGGGTGGCAGCAGTAGTCATCAGAAAACCAATTCAGTAGAATCATTTTATCAAGATCATCATAACATCCCTCATCCCCAATTGATATTAGTAATAATCAACATGATTTATCATTAGTGAGCCCTTTGAGCAAACTAGAACATTTGGTCTTATTTAAAAAGCAACCATAAGTATTAGGAATCATTCACTAACAAATATTAGCTGCAGTAGCCATCCACAGTCACTCTATTATCCATTTCACGTGATCACACCCATTGGTTTTTTCATATTCTCAACTTCCATTTTACCCCCTTCACCCTTGCATAATCCCTACACAGGGCTCATTTATCTGCATTAGGGGGTATCAAAGATAGAAAATCCACCATTCAAAACCAGTCACTTTTCCCAAAACTTTTTTTGCATCTATTGGCTCCAAAAGGGGTTAAATTATTAACCAAAACCTTTAAAAAATGGTGTTTTTTTTCAAACCAGTCAATTCAATAAAGGTGGATTTGGTTATATTTGATACCCTCTATTGTTACTTTTGAGCCATCCACCAGAGCATTTTTTCTGTATTGATTGATCTAGGTCTGATAGAGACTACTATACCTAGTAACTCGATCTTGAAATTTTCCACACTCTAAAAGATATTGATTTTAAGATTCCTTACATATTTGTATAGTACTATAGAGGGGCAGGTCTTCCAAGCCACCCTTAAGTTGTGTTCAATAGCCTTTCAACCTATTCCACAATTTATTTCCCCCTCACGGAACTTCCATTCACATCATCCCTGACATGATTTCCCAGATGGGAAATCTTGTAAATTTTAGGGAAATCCTGTAAAAAAAAAACAAGATTTTTCTAAATTTTTTAGATATTTCTTGATTTTTTAGATTTTTGGAGATTTTTTAGATTTTTCCAGATTTTTCAGATTCTTCTAAATTTTTTCAATTTTTTATATTCTGCTAGAATTGTACATTTTTCTAGATTTTTTAGATATTTTTAAATTTTTTAGATTTTTCCAGATTTTTGAATTTTTTCAGATTTTTTAGATTTTTCCCAATAGATGTTTTGGACTTGTTAATTTTTTACAACTTTATAGATGTCTCTAGATTTTCTAGATGTTTCTGGTTATTCTTTCAGATTTTTTTCAAGATTGTTTGGAACCAAACCTGAAAATTCTGAACAATTCTCAAAATACTAAAAAAGGGGTTGCTGTAATTTTACAAACTATTTTTTACAAGACATATGTCTTGTAAACCGGATAGTTTGTAAAATTAC